ATGGTTGTAATTCACTAGATACCAAAGTACTTCTACCATTCGATGATGGATTATCTCTAATTGGCTCGATAATGTCTGGTATATTACTATGCATCTTCATGGCCTGTACACTTGATGCACCTTCTATTTTCACTTTTGCTTGAGGTTCATTCTCACTAGAACTTATAGTACGAAGTCTTTTATGAACAATCCCTGACAAATCGCTACTGGAACGCTTCATCGCCATCGATTCAGCTTGATGTAGATTTTGTGGACTAGTGAATGATGTCGCTATATTACGACCGGTTAGAGCCTCTGGTGCACGGTCTTGTTTAGGAACTTTAACATCCGGTAGCGTTTCTCGTATCGATTTAGGCCTCTGAGAGTGCGACGACTCTTGACTTGCTTTCACTTCTTCTGGGCTAAACAACGATTTGTGCTTGGTCACTGGTGGTGCTGCTGGCAATAAATTTGATTGTTGATCGACCAATTCGTCATTTCGTTGTCGTTTTTCAGCTTTCGAAACACTAATGTTATTTAAAGTTGTTAAACACAAGGATTGAGAGTTTCCAATCTTGATGGAATCTTTTAATGTTTTCGAAACACCATAAGCCGAATGTTKACTTACAATAAATTTAGAAGATATGCTTTTCTGAGGAATTTGTGATAAAGAAGATGCAGGGTTTGTCAAAGATYTTTCTTGAGTGAACGTATTTTGAGGCATACTGGTTGATTTGATATCACTTATGAACGCACTGATGCTTCGTTGTGGTTTATCCGCTTTACTATATTTACAATGATAAGATGGTTTTTGTAAATTAGCAGCATGTTGCACATCAAATGCTGGTTTTGGAAATAWTAAAGGTTTTTCTATAATCTTCCTTACTTCTGCGGATCTCTTTTCCAAAGAATCAGATTTTCGTAGTCTATCTCTTGATGAATCAGGATACTTATTGTAATCTTTCTGATCTGCGTCTCTTTTATGGACTACAGGTTTATGCCTAGAATCAAAGACCCTTTTGTCGTTTAGTTGATTTTTTCCGTCCATTGTATTTATTCTCTGTAAATTATGATTATTATTAYTTAGATTGTCTTGTAATGTAGCAATGTCAGATCTGTGTGATGTATTATCTKGTAAAGCATTGTCTGCATTTGYATCTTTTCCTTGATGTAGATTATGACTATGAGTATGCACTGAACTATTGATATTTGAACTACTGCTAGAATTGTATTCCCTTTCTATCCTCTGTCTGTTAGAATTAGGATTAAGTTCTCGCGGTTTGTTTCCAGTAGAATAWCTTTGCTGAACTAATGGATTAMCTTTGATCTCTTGTCTATGATGATGATTATGATKCATTGTAGATTTTGGYCCTGGTGGAACGGAATGCTCATTAGGCATGCTAGTTCCAGGCACAGGTTGTTTATGGTGTTGCGAAGAATGATGCTTATTGATATCAACTGCATGAATATGATGACCACTYGYTGATGTAGKTRRAGCAGCCTTTTCTYTCTCTAAACGTTCACGTTCTTTTTTCTCCATATATTCACGATAATCAACAGGTGGTCTTAGATTTGTTGAAGGACCTTGTTGTTGTCTTCTATCTTCTTGGTTTTCGGAATGATGGGGCCGATTGAAATGAAATGTTGGTCCCCCTTTTGCTGTATTTGCAGGAGATTGAGCTTTTCGTGGCTCAGCATCCTACAAAAAAGGTCAAATCTGTTTTTAATTCAAATATATTTCATTAAATGTAAMAAATTTGTATAGTAGCAAACTACAATTGAAACAAAAATAATATCTTCCTTTGTATAAAAAAAAAATAAATAAATGATCGTATAAAAATACTTACAAATAATGAATTGTTGTTAGGCACATTTTGATGATTTAAATTCGGGCTCTGATTAGCGGAAACGCTCAWWRTCTTTTTTTTYMATCGTGATAGGCATCTATCAAATATATGTAGATATTCTGCWGTAAGTTGTGCCAGCAGCTCTTTAGTAACACTTTTATCAACGTGCCAAAACTCATGTCTACCTTCATTACTTTGAGGTATCTGTAATTATTAGAAATTCAATATAGTAATATATTTTTATCATTTACAAAAAATCGTRAWGTAAAACAATATTAAAATGTATATATTATTACCTTCCAATTGGAATATTTGCATGCCAAATGAGTGCTGAAACAGGCAACTACAGTAGGCTTGTATTGCAGACATATAGTTGTTAAATGCAAACTGAAATAAAAAAAATTTTTAAATTATTTACAGTCATTTTCTTATTATTATATTATTTTTCAATGAAATGTAATATTATGTACCAAATAATTATATCTACAAGTATAAATAACTTGTGCTCGTATTAACACATAATTTATTTACTTAAAAATTATATATTTATTTAAAAAAATGATTTTTAATAAGAAACTAAACTTTACTCAATACATTTATTTGAAGGATAAAGTGAATTGTGTTGTTATGTCAAATTCTAAACTATTTCTAYACCTTAACATTTTTTTATGTAATAATTTATTCACCTTATATTTAGATGCGATAATTTTTCAAATTTGTGCAATTGTTTTGTATGAATTATGCAATTTTTKTATAATATATTATAAAATGATTACTTAATTTAAAAAAATATTGATTTATCCGTTTTTTACTAAAAAAATCCTTTTCTTTTGGTCAAAAAACAAACAAAAACAGCGCATATTGAATAGGGAAATACTTTTGAAAATCATACGCTTTCGTCATATTAAAATACAACAATTTCTATGTGAAAGTAAATGAACATATTTGTATAGAATTTAAATTTAATTAAAAAACTATATAAATATTTTTAATCATATTATCAATCATTATTATTGTCAAATAWCAAATATAAATTACCAATTTCCAAATATGTTCATTTCACTTTTTACCCTTATTCTTCGACACGTATATGAAAAATATTAGAAATTTGAATATACGCTTTGCGTATTTGTATGATGGTCGTCACCCTTCCATAATGGTCCTCCCGAACGAAAAGGTAATACACATAGATTGATCAAAATGTGATCTCATATGTTATACAATTTGGTACACAATTACACTTTCTATCAATTTTTTTAAAAATTATTGATGAAAAGATATAAAACAAAAATAAGAACCTTTGAGATGCAATAAAATGAGACATCTGTTCCAGGTCTTTGCTTGCTAAAACAAAATAAATAAACATTTWTTAARATAAAGTACAAATCAATATATATACCACAAATATAATTAAACAAATAAATATTGTAATATAAACAACAAATTTACCTTTAACGAGTTGGCAACATCTAACAACGTGTGTATGAGTATGATCAATGGCAAAATCAAACCCTAATGTTTGCAATAGGACATTTTCATTAGAGACCAAATCTTGAGCTTGTTCTAGGTATTGCTGCAAATAAAAAGGTTACTTGTTAATAAATTGAAAGTAAATAATAAAAAAAACCTAGATGAGAAGAAAAAAATGAATGTATTCTAAATATAAATTGTTAAAAAGAGAACTATGACGATTTAGTGAGAAAATACCCACTTTAGATCTATCAGGTGGCTATTCGTTTAAAAAGAGAATGTAACAATTTAACAAAAACTTTTTCTTCTACTTARATTTGATATAAACAAATTTACAATACTAACCTTTGATCTATCAGGCAGCTGTTCTCGGTGCAAGCACATGTGTGCCATTTTGATGACATGTTCCAGTTTACGTGGTTGCTCTTCTACTTTTGCTGCTAAAAACAAGGCTGCTGCAGCAATAGAATATCGATGAAA